CCCCAAAACCCCAAAACCCCAAAACCCCAAAACCCCTAGAGTTGATAGTAATATTGAAGGAATTTAATGTTAGAGGATAGGTATAGAGTAGGCTAACATTCTCTGAGGTTTTTACAAAATCTAATTTAAATAAGGAGAAATTGAGTTTGAAAGATTTTGATTAAAATGTATTTTGGTTAATTTTTTGTGCAATTTCAGGATTTGATATTGAAAATTTCGAGAGAAATGGAAAATGAAAAGATTTTAGAATTTAACGCTATAATGAAAAATTTCATTACTTTAAGATTTTTGGCAACTAATCCAGGTAGCTTTGAGTATGCTTTGGATATTTGGAAAGATAATCAACAGCTTCTTCAATAATTGCTTCTTCGTTTTCTTCCTTATAACTTCCAAGATAAAGATACCCTGAATTTGAAACAGTCATGATTAAATTCTTCTCTAATTTGCATGATATACATTTCTTGTTATCTTCTAAATTAAGTATTAACGAAGAAGAAACAAATCAATTCATACCAAAATTTACTTCAGTCTGTTCTCTATTGATCTTAAATTTAACCTCACTCGGCTTGGAGAAAGCGAAGTCGAAAGCAGCTTTGAAAAAAGTGTTTCCTTCTTGTTGCTCTTTTATCTCTTGATCTGTTAACAAATAGAACAAATGAACAGCTCCATCCAGAGAACTCACTATTAATTCTTGATCATTTTGCTGGAAGGATAGATAATCAATATGCTTCGGGAACATCCCTCTTGAGAAAGAATAAAGTTTGGATCTGTCTTGAACATCAAAGATATCAATGTTCTTCCCTTCAGTTGTAGCAGATGCTAACAAAGTCCCTTGGGAATTTAATTCAAGTGCAGTGACAACATACTGGTATGTAGCATAGCCAGGGAAGAAACAATACCTTGTATCATCTTTGATGTCAATCACAAATACATCAGCGTCAGATTCAGACCCTGGGCAGGCGATTAACTGAGACTCGTCTGTCTTGGTTTCAGCTCAAAAGGTGATCCCAATAGCTCCATATAGATTTTCTGCAGTTTTAATGATAGTCGGGTTCTTGTAATCATCCATCTTCACGATCTTGACCGAATAAGACTGAACAATAATCAAAGTAGCTAGATAGATCATGAAAAGACTTACATTTCATGTATCTGATATCAAGCACTTCTTTACTGAACCGGAGCTACACATTTTAGCTACGAATCCTGAGCCAGAAGGAAATTTATACAAAGTGACTGAAACTTACCTTTGCAACCTGAGTATTTTTAAGGTGATTATAAATGACCAGGTATTCCTTCCTTGCTTCCTTTTCCGGTTCTCATTCAGTGTTTGAAGAATTCTAGAGCCAAAAATTGATAAAACATATATCTAAAACTGAAAAATATCTTAAAATAAATCAAATTTTTGAAAGTTACCTCTATGTAGCTGATAATGTTACCATTAGAGCACGGAATGATAAGTTTGACCCCATTGGTCACTGCTACCTTCAATACCAAAGTGGTTGGCTGAAAGGTATACAACCTGTATCCGAGGCTAGTGCCTACTGCCAAGTACAGGTAATCTCTGCTGAACCTAAGAGAGTTAACTTTTTCTCCAGCTGTTTCCATTAAAACCGATAAGCTCAAATTTTAATATAAAATATGGGGTTTTGGGGTTTTGGGGTTTTGGGGTTTTGGGG